TTGACCGAAATAAAAAGTCATTGGCAATTCCTGAAGAAAGCAACCAAGCATCAATTAGCAAGCACTGCAGAGCCCATCTAATCAAAATGTTCTTTTTTTTAAACCCAGCGATCCAGAACTAGCAATGACAACAAAACAAATTAGATTGCTAGCAGTAACGTTTTCTTTGCTCATTCAGATCAGGACATGCAGCTAAAAATAATATTTGCAGCAGGATATAGTAAGCATGAATAATTACAAAATTTGGGGGAGTGGGGTGGGGAACCGTCACTAATTTATCCATGAAATTAGTCAATTAAGTTCAGAAATAGCTCTAAGAAGTTTGCCCACATAGACTGCCTACATTATTTTGATGTAGAGGTGCCAGTGTTTTACTGGGGTGGACAAAGTCAGAATTCGCACAACAGCAGGTTATAGTCCAACAGGTTTATTTGAAATCACAAGCTTTCAAAACACTGCTCCTTCATCAAGGGGTTACACACCGAAGGTTTGTGATTTCAAATAAACCTGTTGGAATACAACTTGGTGTTGCGTGACTTCTGACTTTTTACACCATTTTGAGCCTAGCCTTTTTTTTGCACAAGAGAAATTAGGAAATTTCATCTAGCTGGGTTTGGTTGCTGGAGAAATTCAGCAACTGCTGGCAATTTCCGTGAGAGATGTCTGGTGCTTGTCCTGATCATTGTTGCCAAGTTTATCAAGCGGGTGTTCTAAAAGACATTTGGCCTCTAAGTTACATGGAATGTCATAGAATCATAGAATCCCTATGGCATGGGAATAATCCATTCCGCCGATCGAGTCCACACCAACCCTGCAAAGAGCATTCCACCCAGACACACCACCCTACTCTATTCCTGCAACACTGCATTTCCCATGGTTGATCTACCTAGCCTACACATTTTGGACAGTGGGAGGAAACCCATACAACATGTGGAGTGTGCATGTTATGGGAAGGACATGCACACTCCACACAGACAGTTGCCCGAGGGTGGAATCACACCCAGGTCCCTGCCACAATAGGGCAGCAGTGCTAACCACTGAGCCATCGTGCAATGGCTCTTTAAGAGGAATTTCTGGAAAATGGGCCCTGCTGTTTTGGCAGTGGGACCAATACCTGCTTAAATTTCACACAGACTGACTGGCAGTATGAGGAAGTGGTTCTGAGGAAGAGTCACCACACCCAAAATGTTAACTCTGACATTTTCTTCACAGATGCTGAGCTTCCAGCAACTTCTGTTTTTGTTCCTGATTTACAGCATCTGCAGTACTTTCGGAATCTTTGTTTGGCAGTTAAAATGCCTCACTTTATATCCACCTTACACATGCCTTTTGGGTGCAAAATACACTCATTTCTATCCTGGTTGCTCAACATGACAAAAATATTTTCAATTCACCTTCCTCATACCAAAAGCAGATGACTTCACAATTCCCTACATGAAATTCCACTTAGGATACTTTTGCACATGTATTTTTTCAGTTTTTTTTATATGATATATTTTTATACAATAATATTTTTATATTTCTTCAGCAATTCCTGCTTCCATCTCCAAAACGTTTTGTGCATTCTTTGTATGTTCAGATTATCTAAAAGCTTGTATTTAAAAAGATATTCTTTTATCCAAGCCAATAACGTATGCAGCAAAGCAGTGAGGTCTCAGTATACATCTATGGAAAACATCACATGTCACATCTCACTAATCAATCAACAAACCTTCTAACTCTACTGTCTTCTACCTCCTAACCTGTTACTATCCCATATTGGTTGCCTTCAATTTCACATACTCTCATTTTTGCTAACTATCTCTTGTATCAAATGTCTTCTGTAATTTCATTGGACAATATCCATTGCTGCTGCCAAGTTGCCACGGATTTCTACAAAAAAGTTCAACTAGATTAGTCAAAGTTGACCCACCCTTCAGAAATCCACAAAATGTTCTTTGATCAGTCATTACCTAGAATCTTTGTTACTCAACTTATATAATGGAGTGATATTCACATATTTCCTAATCAAAACCATAATTAAAAATCTAGAGATTTTTGGAAAGAAATGACAAATACCTATGCAACTTTCTCACCTATTTCTTTCAAACCACTGGGGGAAGACACCTTAGATTTAGATTTTGATCTTTTTATTTGTCACACATACTAAGTACAGGAATACATAAGTATAGTGAAAAGTGCACAAAGTAACCATTCACTCGCGTCCACTTGGTTACAAAAACGAGAATTAAATGAGTTAACAGAGCCAAAAGGGAAGCAAGAAAAGTCCAGATCTCAGAGGCCCAAGTCCCATCTCGAAAATGGTGCAGGCGCTGTTCCAATCGCTAGGTCACTACCGCCGCCTTAGCAGCCCACTCTCACCACTAATGGCTGCTGCCTCACCAGCCTGCTCTGATCATGAAAAAGACTCTCTCTTCAGTCCTATTATTATCCCCATGATCATTGTTTTACTTATAAGTCTACTCCCTTGACTAATTTTTAGATTTCCTTATACAACTGTTATTTTATCCCTTTCTTCCACTGTAAAAACAAATTGAAAGCGTTCATTTAATAATTCTGCCTATTCCTTTGTGAACTGTTTGCTTCACTTGAGAGTTAACTGCAACACATATAAAACAAATCAAGAAATGCACTAGCATTTAGAACTGTAGCCTATATAAAACTGATACTGTTACACCTCACTAGGGTATCTGACTGGAAATAAAGCCCAGCTATTCTTGGAGTCATCATAAAAGTTAAAGATTTTTTAAAAAGTTTGCAGAACTCCCCAATTTACCTGGTTTTTAGACTCAGAAAGCATGGTTTCTGTACTTAACAAGAATTATTATTTATGACAAAGCAGACTCTGGCTTTAAGTAAACAAATATAAACCACAGGCATATAACTCTATGAGTTAATACTCTAATTCCCCAAACAAATATATACATACGCACACAGACAAGAAAAGCAACATGGGTGTATGACAGGAGAGAAAAATAGAAAAGCAATTCAGTGGCTTTTGTTCACACAATCTGACTGAGATAGTTCTTGTGCTGATAAGATCACTGTTTTCTCATCTTCCTACTCTAAATGTTTTCACTAGCTTGCAAGAGGCACAAGGTGGCTGGTTCACGCTTATAAAAGGTCTCTGACTTATTAACTAAAAATTATAGTTTAGAGCAACAGCTGAAGGAAAGATAAACTGGTTGTATTCAGACTGTGAGTGGCATTTATTGCCCAGAACAGGCAGTTCTTGATCTCTTGGAGATTTGAAGCCATTTCTGTATCCTTTCCACAGTCCCAAAATGTTCAGCTACCTGAGAACCTAACCCTTCCCTCCATCATAAGGTCAGAAGTGGGAATATTCACTGATGATTGTACAATGTTCAGCACATTCATAAGTCCTCACATACTGAAGCAGTCCATGTCCGAATACAACAAGTTCTGGAAAATATCCAGGCTTGGGCTGGCACGTTGCAAGTAATATGTGCACCACACAAATGCCAGGCAATGACCATATCCAATGAGAGACAATCTAACCACCAGCCTTTACCATCACTGAGACCCCACTATCAACATTTTGGAGGTTACTATTGACCAGAAACTCAAATGGACTCACTGTATAAATACAGTGGCTACAAGAACAGTTCAAAGGTTAGGAATACTGTGGCAAGTAACTCACTTCCTGACTCCACAAAGCCTGTCCACCATCTACAAGGCACAAGTCAGGAGTGTGACAGAATACTCCCCACTTGCTTGGGATAAATGTAGCTCCAACAATACCCAAAAATCTTGATACCACCCAAGACAAAGCAGCCTGCTGGTTTGACAAACATCCATAAGCATCCACTCCCTTCACCACCGATGCTCAATAGCAGCAATGTCTGATGCATGGCAGCAATTCACCAAATATCCTGAGAAAGCACCTTCCAAACCCTTGAGCACTTTTATCTAGAAGGACTAGGGCAGCAGATACATGGGAACACCACCACCTATGTGTGTCACTCTAAGCCACTCACCACTCTGACTTAGAAACATTTTGCCATTCCTTCATTGTCCCTGGGTCAAAATCCTGGAACTCCCTTGCAAAGGGTATAGTGGGTTTACCTATGGCACATGGACTGCAGTGGTTCAAGAAGGCAGCTCACCACCACCTTTTCAAGGGCAACTAAAGACAAATAATAAATATTAACTAGCCACCCACACACCACAATTGAATTTAAAAAAACTGATCACACATCCACAGACCAATCAGCTACTTATTGCTGGCTGAATCGCCATTTGTACACACCCCTCGGCTCCAGTTCATCTGCAAACTACACTTCCTTTCCCTTCAGGAGTTTTTGGTTTTTAAAACAGCTCTTGTCCCATCTCAGTCCACAATCACAAATGTAAAAAATGAAGAATAAATGCTATTTACCATGTGTATTTTTGTAGAATGACATTATTTTTAGACCCAGCGTGGTGCACATTTAAGAAAAATTTATTTTTCAGATTTTTTTTCAAAACAGTTGGAGTAGGAATACCCTAATCCAAATATTTGCTACACCTAGCCATTTTCATTATAATAATTCATTAATGTTTAATTTGAATTAGATTGTGTCTTTTGTTTGCTTAGACGTTATTAAATTTCTAAGCATTTCATTACTATTATGTGCATGGTAACTTCATGTTGATAAATTGTGTTTAGATTCTTTTAGCTACAGTCAAGGCATTAAACAAAGTAAAAATGAAAAAATATTAAGTAGCAGTTAGCAGGAAGGTTGACACGTTGGTCAAATGGAACACTTATCAAGTATCTTTCTAAAAAGCAATGTGATCTCCAAATTAAGACTTAATGCACACTTTCTACAAGACTGCTTTGGGAATATTTGTGAAAATTTGTCAAAGATTCAATACACCGTGGCTTATTCCAAAATGAATTAGACACATAAATCAGACAAGGTTATTAAACGTGGGCTGAAATCAAGGGCCATCTGCATTTAGACTGTGACATCTTACACTAGACTGCTACAAGTTACCTTCAGGCCTGAGTTGTTGTCCAGTGTGTTCTCATTGGTCTCATTCTTCCCAAGGGCATAAGAACATTCAGGCAAGTTGACAAAGTGTAGAGGTAGCTGGAGTTCCACTACATACTCCTTCTGCCCAAGAAGAGATTTGGGAAGCTTTAATATCTGTGAAAGAATTTAAAATAAAAGCACTTTGGAAGATTTGTGAAAAAAAATTACAGTGGTTGTTGTTGCAAATAAAGAAATTCATATTAAATAGTATCAACTGTCCTACAGTATTCGGAATGAGCTTCCAGTCAAATGGGTTGCTGTGTCCTGGGTGCTGTCAAGAATTTTGAGTATTATTGGAACTGCTCTTACCCAAGCATTCCACCTCATTCCTGGCTTGTGCCTGGTGAATGGTAGACAGGCTTTGAGTTTCAGGAGATGAGTTTCTTGTCACAAAATTCCTAGCTTATGACCTGCTCTTTTAGCTATAGCATTTATATGGCTCGTCCAATTTAATTTCTGGTCAATAGCTACCCCTTTATGATGTTAATAGTGAGGAATGCAATTATGTTAATACAAGGGAAGAGGGTTCAATTCTCTCCTGTTGTTAGTGGTTATTGTTTGGTACCTACATGGTGTGAATGTAATTTATCATGTATCAGCCAAGCCTGACTTTTTCCCATGTCTTGCTGCATTTGGGTATGAACTACTTCGGTATCTGAGGAACTATGAATTGTACTGAATACAGAAATCCTTACTGAATATCACCATCTCAGATCTTATGATGGAAGGAAGGTCTTTAATGAAGCAGTCAAAGATGGTTTGGCCCCCTACCTGAGGAACACCTGGGCTGAGATGATTGGCATCCAACAGCTACAAGCATCTTCTTTTGCGCCTGGTATGACTTCAAGTGGCGTACAGTTTAAGCTTGATTTTCACTGACTTCAATTTTACAAAGGCTCCTTTATGCTGAATTCAGTCAAACACTGCCTTGCTCATGCTTACCTTGCCATTCAATGATTCTATGGTCATTAATATCATAATTAATAGGGCTGGCAATGTCCATTAAAGTGAGTACATTGTGATATCAAAAGATTTTATTGTGAAGGGTGGTTGCAGAAACAGGGAACTATTTTGCCTTCTTCATGCTGATGAAATTGTAAAGTGATATGTTAGTTATTAGCACACAGCAGCAGGCAAGTGTAAATGCACACTATATTGCAGGAGTGTGAAGGGTCTCTGTGGCACCCCCAGGTCTTACAAAGTCCTGCCCTGGAAGACATGGACACCTCCAGGTTTGGCACAACAGCACAAAGGAGCTGCTGTTGCATCTTAAAATGTGAACCCACACTTTCCAAAGCAACAAAAGACAGTCTGAGACACAGTTCTGAAGAAGGGTCCAGACCCGAAACGTCAGCTTTCCTGCTCCTCTGATGCTGCCTGGCCTGCTGTGTTCCTCCAGCTCCACACTGTGTTATCACAGTCTGGGAAAAGTTGTTTCCAATTGTTGCTGTAAAAAGGATAAGAGCCCAGAAAAGCCTCTTGAAATAATGTAGACTCACACATTGAACAATACGTCAGACAAAATTAATTTGACATTGAAGGGTAAAGAAGCAAAACCAATCATATTCAAGAATCTGAAAATGACCAGCTTCACTACCACCATCAGCATTACTGGTATTATCTAAATTAACTCTGCAACATTCCACCATCCACTCATCAGGGAAGCCAGAGATTGATTTGTATCTTTTTAACTTCTTTTTTAAACTCAGTTTCACATTCCTAATCTCCGTGCACATGTATCATGTTTTCTTTATGTTTTGTATTTAATAAAGTCAATTTTTCCTTAACTCAAGAAAGCCTAATTAATTTGTCTCCTTTAAAACATTTTAATTGTGGAAAGCTGTCCAGGAGGGAAGAGATCATTTTCAAAGTAGCCTTGTTGTGACCAACGAAGAGAGGGGTTGAAATAAGAAGAGGAGCCACTTCATCCCTCGTCACCCTGAGCATAATTATTTGGGGGTATTGCTGCCTGGTACCATAAGAAATGAGGGACATTCGCCCAGGGACCTGTTATAATAAATGCCACTGGGGATGTACTTGTTGCTGTTGGTGTGATGCCTAGAATCATTTCTCGATCAAAGGCCCGAAATAGGTGACGGTAGGACAGTCATCTTGGGGTGAGGATTATGGAGATCATGGAGGGATTCGGTAAACAAGGACAGGAGTGATTCTGAGCAGGAACGTCCCACTTTCCCAATGTGAGATCCCTCAATCAGGCTCATTAGTCAATCTCCCTGAAGCCTGCGGGCAACCCTACATGGGTTTGCTTGTTATAAATATATTTATTCAACTTGTTGAGATACTTTATGACACATATCTGATTGGCTGCATTCAAAGCACATAGTTAGTAGGACCACCCTCGTCCTCCCTCCCTACCTCCCCACCTCTTTGGTCTTCCTCTTGTAGAAGGTATATTTCCAGAGAGATTCCCATGTGCTACTGTTGGGGATCTAGGTGGAAAAGTAAAGTGCTAACGTAATTAATGACGAATGGCTTTTTTTGATTCGACCCCAGACCTGTTAGCCCAAAGGTAGAGATTCTAGAACTGCACTGGTGCCCAGAACATGACCCTGGCTTCTGGATCACTTGGCCCATGATAGAACCACTAGACCACTACTTCCCTCCGTGTGCTTGGTGGCACCATTGTGTTTACAGCTGCAGCAATGAAATGAAACTCTTAAATGATGTTAAATTTCCACTTATGGGTCTCCATTAGTGGCAAGGCATGAAGGCTGCCCATGGGCTTCTCCACCTCATACTTAACTGGGGAGGAGAGGGGAAGGAAGAAGGTTCCCCCACCCAACTAAACACAACCCACCACTAAACCCACCAGGGGAGGAGTGCATTAAATCCCACCCACTCTATATAAAAACTTGAAAATCCAAATTGTCATGATCTGTCAGCTTGGAAGTGTGATTCCATCTTTTCTCCTTTGGCCCAACTGCTAATTCACATGACAAATCTGTATTAGGATGGAACTTATACACAAGCCTTTATGGTACACAGTTCATCACTGGTCAATAGATGGCATTACATTATGTTAATTCGACTTCTTCTTATTAAAATCTTTAATCTTTATAAGACATAAACTTGATAGATTACATATTTGTTTCAATGACAATTAGCTCATTTAAACTAATTCATATGTTCTCTGTGTAATATTCACGTATTAAATATATTGGTATTGATTTACAACAGTGACTGCTGCGTCTTTTATGTGCTAATCATCACAGTTATAGAAACGAAATGGTGTAATGGCTTAGAATAGTGGCCTTTCCCCCCTTGAATCTGGGTTCAAAATTCACCCCAAACATCAGAAATAAATGCTAATCACTGAAGCTAACTGAGTCCACAGTTTTGCCTCGTAATACTTTTGCATTCAAATCCAAAACCAACTTGGATGAAACAGAAGTCTTACGCTATTGAAGTACAGAAGAACAGTTGGGTCCTCTCAACACTCTGCACTGTTAAACAAATTCTACCCATCTCAATCCAGTCTCTTTCCTGGTACCCCACTTCCCGTCCTTCTTTTAACTCTCGTTATCTCACCTGACAAATTCTTGGGGGATTTTCAGATTGTCCAGATCTAATAAATGGGCATCCTGTACACACCATTAACAAGAAGTAGCAGAGTAAAAGATATCAGATTCTCCATTTAACAAAAAAAACTGAAGAACGTTAACTCTGCTTTCTCTCCACAGATGCTGCCAGAACTATTGCGTTTTCTCCAATAGTTTTTGTTTTTGAATCAGATTCACCACTTTCAGCTTTCCTACTGCAGTTTTCAAAGATGCTAGTAACACCAGATAGTTGGATCCATGTAGATGAAGACTGAAGTATATCAATGCCCTAGTTTGCACATGGTTTCTCACATAGCTGCTCAGAAACAATGGCTGCCAAGGGCTGCTGGGAACACTGCCACTTACAAATGCAGATTATAAGAGTTTTAGAAGAGGAATGGACTGAAAATTTAAAGGCTTTTTCTTCCTATTCTTTTCATTGGCTCATGAGGCCAATAGCCATTTTCAGTCAATTGCACTGGCACTGTTATTTTTTTCACTTAGAATCCTAACAGCAGCAAACTGGAAACTCTTTGCATGTAAATTCTCCAGAAGAGGAAGACCCAGGCAGTGCGGAGTAGGGGGACCTACATTCAGGCACACAGATCTGGTTTGAATGCACCAATAAGTATAAAATATTTGGCTTAAAATAGGCATTTTCACAACTTTGGTATATTGCAAAGTGCTTTACAGCCAATAAAATATTTCTTAAGTGTAGTTATTCCTGGAACATTGAAAAAGTGGCAGCCAATTTGTGCACAGTCGCCTCTTATAAACAGCAATGTCAAATAAACAGATTATCTATTTTGTTTAATGATGTTGATTGAGTCATAAACATTAGCCAGGACAATATTTTCCTTCGACGAAATAGCAATGCAAGATCTTGTACATCTACCTGAGGGAGGGTGAGGGGGGTCGAAGGAGCTTATTCAATGAACTTCTCGTTTGAAAGTCCACACCTCTGAGAATCCAGCAATCCCTCAATATTGCAATGGAACATCAGTGCTGTAGAATTGCTTTAAGAGCTGTGTGGTTTTTAGAGGTAATAAGCCAAGGACTGTGATGAAACCATATAACAAACCATTATGTGCAGAAGTCCAATGCAGCAGGAAGCATGCTAGATAGTCTAGGTGCATGCCATAGTTAACTGGAACTGTTATCTGTATTATGAGCTGTTAAATAAACTTGAATGAGATTTACAAGTAAACTGAATCCACATTCCCTAATTTCTATTACTTATAAATAACACATCAAAATACAACGATCAGGCTAGATTTTGTACTCAAGACTCTGGAGTGGCATTCAAAGAAGCATACGTACCACAATTTGCGAATGCCGCACATCAGATTCACAAGGGAGGCTGTGGCAAAATTGTTCCAATGGACACAAGGTGATTTGCAGATAAACTCCTTCACAAGCATGGCCATGCCAGTGAGTGTCTTAATTCCACCACTTTAGAATCATTCCAAGCTGCCACTCAGAAAAGTAAGAATGTAAACTATAGATGAATTAAGTGACACACAAAATCTATTTTGCTCACACGAGCAATTTCAGCTTCTACACTTTGATCAGAAATTTGCTGCAGTGAAGCACCCTCATGGTGGCTACAGAAAATAAAGGACAACCAAAGGGAACAGACATCAGGAATACTGCTAGTGAGACATGCCTGTCTACACAGTAAATGGGGTCTTGGAAAGAGCTGTCATTCATTTTGAGGTCAGAAATCACACGACACAGGGTTAAAGTCCAACAGGTTTATTTAAAACACAAGCTTTCAGAGCCTCGCTCCTTCTTTAGGTGTTCTGAGGACCATGCCTCCTTACTGTTTGGCTGGAGAGCTTCAAGGGGAAATCATCACCCTGACACCAGGTCACTGTAATGTTGAGTGCCAGACCTGGGGAAGAAGGCACAGAAAGATTGGCTTCAATTTTACGAGGTCTCAGTGAGTGTGGACAGTGTTGAGGGAAGATATTGCAGAGGAAAGATCAGTTCGGATGGTGAGGGATAGCACACACATCACTTTCTCACCACCCCAATGTGTGAAATTGATGGCAAACCTTCCTCACTTAAGCACACTGTAATCCTTAAGCAGCCAATTAAGTCCCATTTGAGAGCTTCCTGTTGCCACTAGTGACATTTTGTCAGCCGTGGATGGCCACTTCCCCACATTTGGAGATCATTTCTTCCTGCAAAGGAAAGCTACCAAGAGATAGATATTCCCCAGGACCAAGATCGGATATGCTGCTATTAAGGCATGTTTGTCCTGACTGTGACAGCCTCCTTCGGGGTTTAGAGGGAGAGCCAGGACCCTTCTATCTGGGCACCCTCTGGCCCACTAATGCCCCCTCCATTGCTGGCCATGGCTGTTCCATTGATAGCAAACACCTGCCCTCTCGAATGAGCCATGCCCCCACTCACCAATTCTTGTCTGAAGAGCCTCATTGAGCCCAATCCCACTTATTTGGAATATGAAACCTATTCCATGGTTGCTGGTCCTGCCTAGTTGTGGTCCTGGCAGTGACCACCATGGGCCTGGGGCTGACCAGCTGCCAACCTGCCACTGGTTGGAAGCTCTTTGTAAGAGGAACCCCATCAACAGAGAGGCTGGAGCTCTAGCGCCAGGCAGTTAATTGTCTGCTGCACCCAAAACAGAGGTAGGGCTCCCATAACCAGCTAAATCAAATCCAACTTAGCAGCTGATGAATGGGACCACGGTTATCCCAAAAAAATCCTTGCTGAAGCATCTTACAGTGTAGAAAGAGGTCATTCAGACTATCTGGCCTGTTTTAATCAGCTATCTTATTTAGTCCCATGCCTTTGCTTCATCTCCATAACTTGACAAATTAATTGTCTTCAAGTAAGAAGCTCTTATTCAGTCTGACTCCCGCATCATTTTGGAATGAATTCCAGATTACAACAACAATCCTCTGTTTGAAAGAATCGTTCCTAAGTATCCCTGCAGTTATTTTGGTAATGACAGAATCATATTCACAACAAACATCAAAATACAGAGGCAGTGGGTGAATTCATGCTTCAAAACACTGCAAAGAAACAATCTCAAAAGCAACCAGAGTAAATTTGCTCTGGTAAGTTGATTGGAAGTCAGTGAGGAAGTGCTCCTCCAATCACAGGCTAGTTCTCTATCGTGTTTATTGCTGAGACGTTCACAAGCACCAGAGAGAAGTGACCTGTGATTGGAGCAGTACTGACCAATGGAAAGGTGAGTGGTGTCAGTGAGGCCAGTGGCTGGGAGTGAGTCAGATGTAGAGGGGCTTTGGACAAAGGATGGTACGGCTGGAGCAACAAGGACAGTTAAGTGATGCTTTGAAGGAGAGAGTGGGGCTGCTACAAAAGGGGTAAGAGTTGCTCCACAGAGGGAGTGGGGCTGCAAAGAGCAGAAAAAATAGATGCTGCAAGGAGGTGAGAGAACCTGCAAAGGGGGCAGAGGGACTGCAAAAAGTAGTGAGGGGCTGAAAGGAAAGTGAGATGAAACAAAGAGGTTAGATGGGCTACGAAAGGGAATGAGCCGTATTAATCATTGCAAAAAAGAAATATCCAGCCCACTGGGAGTCATGATAATTTTGAAGTAATTAAGGTAATAAATTCCTTACAAATGAACTTAGAGTCTCTTGCTTAACATTGCAGGAGTTCAGGAGATACATGTAGAGAAAATTGTAATAGGTACTATTGTAATGAACACTGTGTTAGTTGGACAATTTTAATATTGAACAGTTTTGTTTCAGAAGGATTTTCATTTCTGAGGTATCATACCTCAAAGCATTTTGTTACTGTGAATTACTTCAGATGCAATAACAGTATTTTGAGGTAAACATGCAACCATTTATCTGTGAACTCACCAATTCACAGAAAACATGTCTATTGTGATTTTTTTTGTGTGTAGAAGTGTGTGTCAGTTTTTGTTTAAAAGGTCTTTGCTAACTTGCCCATTGTCTTGTTAATGCTTTCCTTGTATGCTTTGGCTTTAAATGTAATGGAGCCGTGATGGTTATTGAAGACTTTGATGAATTCTTCTAACACAGTTTGTGTGAGAATCCACATAACCCATACATCAGCACAAATGGGGAAAATAATGTTATTATCCAACTGCATCCAACTAAGTTATGAGGTAATGAGAATGGAAAAGGAGACTCTGAGAAACAAAATGTAGTTCTTGGGAAAATCTCAAGTGTCCTCGAAAATATACATATATATTTTGACCCCTGCTTGGCCTATATTGCAAAGGAAACAATTAACTGGTCTATTAAAATCCCTCAACATTTTGGATATATCCATTTGATCACAGTTTCTCCAAACTCTTTGCACTGAATACCTTACTTAATTCAGATATACCCAACTAATTTGAGTCCACAATGGAATCTACATGTAATGTATATCTACACAACCTCTGCCTCTTTTTTTTGCCTATACATCTCCATTTGGGCACCCCATGGATAAAGTTAGAGGAAAATGAGGTTGAAAATCCCCACTCCTGCCTTCATAGCATCATATTGACAACTGGACCTAGCTCCAAAACAGTTCGATGCTCAGATTCAGACATATTTTTTTGGGAATTCATTGGACTCCTGGAGCAGAGCTTTGGGAGTACACAACCTGACACAACTGCTGTATGCCCCAATGTCCCTTTGTTCTACCTGGAGGACTGAGAAACAATAAAGACGGAACTTAATATTAGTCTACCTTATACAACTGCTGGTTTAAAGTAAACTCTGAAGGCACACAGATCATGTCAATTAAGTAATGGAAGTGAAATGTTACCACACACTATAAGGAATAATAGAACGTGACAACAGTAACTGAAGGTCATCAGTTATTAGATGTGTGAAGATGTTGGTGTTAAGCTTGCTACTGAGATATAACTCCATTAGAATCATAATTACCATTTTCACAATTCTGTACCTGGAAATAGAGGTTACACAGCCAGTGATCTATATCTGATGATATAAGGTCTTCAATTTTTCGGAATTCATCTATCTTGGAGTCCCTGTGTCCCCTTAAAAGGGGACATTTGTATTTTCCTTCCAAAATCTCCAACTGGCTGTCACAGATGGGAAATGCACCCCATCCCACTGGCCGTTCAATCCTTGTATTAATTCCATGGAGCAGAAAGAGCTCAAAGATTAGGACCATTCCTGGTTGAACATCATTTTGTGAAGGTAAAACCTAGAGTGACAGATAAGAACATCACACAATTAACAATCTCCAGCTTTAAGTTTCTGTTAGAATTCTTCCTGACACAGGTACAACGGGCTGAAAGCCTTTCTTTTGTGCTGTGTCATTCTGTAACGTGAAGATGGATAAAACCTTGGAGAACAGATCGAGGTGGGGCTTCACTTCAGTGGAGCTGGTGAACATAAACTGTGCAATTCATCTATGGTGTATATTTTCACTGCTCCCTTTGTCATTTCCCTTTCTATTTCAGCCTTTCATTTCAGAGTACCCTCTTAGGTTTGTGGTCTTAAGATGATTCATTTTCCAGATGTTGTTAACACCAACATCTTGATTACCACAGCAGAATGCACCATTCTCTGAAGCAGGAAGGCAATATTTGATTTGATTTATTTATTGTCACGTGTATCTTGTTACAAAATACAATGGAAAAGTGTATTCCCCAGCTCAGTGTTTCTCTCCTTCCTGTACAACTAGGGCAAAGCTCGCAAACCTGTTCCCATCGACCACCTGTCTAACTCCCCTCAAATCATTATCCCTAAAAGAAACAATAAAGTGTTGTTACATTTATATAGTGCCTGTTATACACTTCACTGTACTTACACACTTCACAGGAACATTATCACTAAAAACTTGACGCTGAGCTACAAAATGAAACAGCACAGCATAATGGACAAAGAAGCAGGTTTTAAAGGGTACCCTAAAGGAGGGGAATAAAGATAGAGAGGCAGTGAGGTTTACAGAGGGAGTTTTTGAATGGGGGATCAGACTCTTTGGGCCGATTGGCCTAATTCTGCTCCTATGCCTTACGGTCTTGTGATTTACCTCTTTAGTAAGTAGACATTTAATCTAACGGGCCAGATTATCCACTCATTGTAAAGCCTGCCTGAAATCAATGAAAGATACATTTGGCATGTACAAAGAGCAGATGATTCACTTCAACTGATTACTGAAGACTACTCCACTGACTGACTTTTCCTGAAGTGATACCCTTGCGAATAGCATCACCTTCAAGCTATCCTCCAAGTTACATACCACCCTAACTTGGAAATATATTGCCTGTCCTTCAGCGTTGCAATGTCAGTCCTGGAATTCCTTATTTACCAGGACCATGAGTGAAGCTAAACATGCATCCTGCAGCTGCTCAAGAAGCATTACCTTCTCAAGAGCAGCGAGTGACTGGCAATAAATGCCATCCTTGCTAGTGACACCCACATATAGAATCTCTTTTTCTTCGTTGAATGATTATTAAAAAAGTTATCTGCTCTCATTTGTCAAAAATGCACCAGCATAGTTACTGCACTTTCTAAAGTGCATAGCAAAGCAGACATTTTGATACATGAAGAAAAATGCTTTTGGAAAGTATCGGGCTCGTCATACTTTGGGAATGAGTACCTGAGGAGATATTAATCAGGTCATGATGATGCAGTTTTACAAACAATTTTCAAAGGGAGAAACAGTGGGCAAAACAAATAACAAGAAGGAAATGAACTGTATTATTCATATACAGCTGTATAAAGGTATTATACAACTGCTAGATCATAAATCAAACCTAAAGATATGTTCATTTATGTACTGCCTTTTTTAAAAAGAAACACTAATTTTTAACCGTTTTTTGTCTCTTTTTCAAATGTATTACAGTCCTGTCTGTTACACTTTTGTGTTATCTGTGACTGGGAAAGCATGCGGGGCAGTATTGAGAAATCTGTAGAAATGCTATTACATATTTCACTGCATTTGTATTTCATTTTATTCATAATAAAAAATATACTGTGCCCTTATAATAATGAATAATAGGTCTTGAGTGATTTATAGACAAGGATTAAATGTCAAGTTTGAAAAGTTGCTCTTTAAATCATGGTGGACCCCCCAGGGTGAATCACATGCAGAATATGAGTACATTCTGATCCTTGGCATTTGTTCAGACCCCATATATAAACATAAAATAAATTATTGGATATCTATATTCTAAGTGTAGCAGTACTTATATTTGTAATTGCTAATATACAAACCAAGTTAAATATAAGGTTAAAACAGCTCAAAAACATGAGCTTAGATGTTACATGCTTCAATTATCAAAATTACATAGTTGACAATTTACAGCACAACAGGCCATTCAGCCAATTTATCTGTCCAGATGTTGTGATTCATATTAAGCCTCCGATGTTGTGATTCATATTAAGCCTCCATCCACTCTACTTCCTTGAATCCTCTCTACGCTATTCCTTTTTCCCTCCTGTTCTTACCCACCACAATTGCAGTATAACACTTCCTAAAACAGCAATTGCACACAAACATTTCCAGTGTTGATTTGAAGGCATCACTCAGTGTGACTTCCAATCGAATGTTCAAAATTTGCTTAAAACTATAAGGTAAACCAATACTGACATTTAACATGGGAATCATCTTGGTACCTTTCCAATAATCCTATACAACATGTTAATTCAACATTGTAAAACACTGCAGTTCAATTTTTATAATAAAATAAAAATTATTCAACTGGCAAGCAGTTTCCCTACACTTGAACACCATGTCTGAATGGGAGACAGGACAGAATTTCTCAACTTTCTTGGGGGCTTCTCAAGTGTTCCACTGAATATCAATCAACAGATTCCACAGTTTTAATGTGGATCACCATAATACAGTAGAAAAGAATGAAAATATGTCTCCAGTGATTGCCTTGGGAACACCTCAGAAACTCACCCTTTTTCCACCCTCCATAAACTTGAGCTCATCCAAAACTCTTCTGGCTGTATTCTAACTCCCACCAGCTGTTTATCCATCAGTCCTGTTTTTCTGGTTTACATTGGCTCCTGAACTGGCACAGCCTCCATTTTAAAATTCTCACCCTTGGTTTCAAACCCCTCCATGTCCCATTCTTATCTCTCTAACCTCCTCCAGACCAGCAGCATCCAAGGGCTCTGAGCTCCTCCAATGCCTCTTGCATGTCATGAATACAAATCACTCCAGCATGGATGCTCATGCCTCTAGATGCTTAGATGCTGAAATCTGGGATTTGCTCTCTGAACCTCTCAGCTTCTTACCTCTCTTCCTTTAAAATAATCCTCAGAACTTTCCTCTTTGAACAAGCTTTGAAGCAACAGCCTTAATACTTCCTTAGGTTGCCCAGTGTCAAATTCCGTTTGATAAAGCTCTGGTGAAGCATGTTGAGATATTTTATTATATTGAAGTTGCTATAGAAATGGAAGTTATGGCAGTATGCATAATGCATGCTGTGGCCATTCACAAACCACTTTGGTAAACATGCCTGGAACAGGTCTCCATTCTGTATATGCGGTAGGTCCAATGTCTACTAAACAAGCCAAACCAATATTGATAGTGCACATGGGTAGTGTAAAATGAACATTTCTATGCCACATGTCATATTGGACCATTTGATGCTTGTTTTACTCCTGTAACATCCAATTTTGAGATCATTATACAATTTCTCAGCAGGAGGTATTTTCATCTGTAAAATTACAATTTCATGCCACAAAGCAACAAGAAATCTTGGTTTTCTGGGTAGCAAATCACTAGTAATCCATTATTTACTACCAGCATTGTAACAGGGTATGATCTGCTTTCAAGGTTAATGTACACCCATAAACAGTTATGGATCCATTCAGCCATTTAGCCACTTCAAGCTTCTCATCATAACATCTTGCATTTCCATGAATAACTACATTGCTAATGAAGTTATAAAGAAATATATTTCACAATAGCTTTCACCTTGAAAATCTGGATGAAATACAGATATACTGTGACCAGATTCATACTACTCCTGCGACGTCATATCCACATTAACCTTGAATTAACTACTGCCAAAAGGAACTTTACCATAACTCCGGGCTGACATTTTGTCTTGCAAGAGAGTTACAGGACTGTTTCCAGATGACAAATCCCCCTCTACAGGACAAAACAGTTTTATTCATTGGAATTTGACTGTGGGAATGTCTTAATCGGCATGGAGGCAGGTTTCCTGTCCAATTAAGCTCGTGGGCAGCTTCTCGAAACTGGAGCAACAATCAGAGGTCTTTCACCTTGTGAGGAACCGTTGGCTGCAGGAATAGATTAATAACTGAGAACGTGCTTCAGTGTAAAGTGCCCTTCTACCAGCTAGTTCAAAAATATTAAAAACCACCAGAAAAAACAGACATTCCACCCATTGATGGGGAATGGGTACAGGGGCTAGTGAGGTGGCTGGCAGTGGTAGTGAGGTGAGGGAGGTCTACCTCTACAGATCATCCTTTGGTTGTACCTGCATCCTGACAGGCATAGAGTGCATGGAAAGCTGACTTGCCCTCCCCACCATGCTGCTGGACGAACAATGCAGACACTTTAACGACCACCACCCCACTCCCAGC